GAAATAAATCATTTAAATGACAACTTCGTGTAAAGAAAAAAAAAAATGTTTTTGTAATTTTCCAGAAACTTGTGGAAAAAAATAAATCTTCCATGGACTCAATATGCCTCTCAGCAGATAGCTTAGGGTGCTACTTTCCGAAAAGGGGTCATTTGAGGGTGCCTGTACTATCCTGGTATTTTAGCACCTCAAGAAATGTGATGGGCAGTCAGAAAGTCACACAGAGCAATCAATATACACTTACTGGGATTTTGTTAACCAAAAACATGTAGCAGAATACATTTTGGCCTAAATTTATGATGAAATTTTAGTTTTTTTAGATATTTTTTATGACCGAAATGAGAAAATATTGTTTTTTTCAAACAAATTTTTTTTTTCTTCAAATGTTTTTCTGGTTATAGCGCCAAAAATAAAAAGTGCACAGGTGATCAAATACCACCAAAAGAAAGCTCTATTTGTGTGAAAAAAAGGGCATAAATTTCATTTATGTGTACCATATTGCATGACCGCGCAATTGTTAGTTAAACTAGTGCAGAACTGTATAGCAAAAATGGCGTAAATTACAGTATCTATACCATAGTTTGTAGACGCTATAACTTGCACACACAAAGCAATCAATATACACTTATTGGGATTTTTTTTTTACCAAAAACATGTAGCAGAATACATTTTGGCCTAAATTTATAACTAACCATGAGTTTACTATATATTTTTTATAGCTGAAAGTAAAAAAATATTGTTTTTTCTTCAAAATCTTTGGTCTTTTTTTGTTTATAGCGTGAAAAATAAAAAGTGCACAGGTGATCAAATACCACCAAAAGAAAGCTCTATTTGTGTGAAAAAAGGACGTAAATTTAGTTTGGGTGCAGCATTGCATGACCACGCAATTATCACTTGAATTAGTGCAGCGCCGAGTAGCAAAAAGAGGCCTGGTCAGGAAGGGGGGTAAATCCTCAGGAGGGCAAGTGATTAATAAACTAAAATAACAGTGTGTAAACAACATTTTGTATAGAGATCTAACACACGTGTAAAATATTGGATATTAAAAACAATAACAAAATTAAAGTAATAAATGAACTGATGTATACCAGATAAATACACATAGAAAAACAAGTGATTCTTTAAAACCTATCCTTTTTATCAATATAACACTTTTATAAAAAAAAATACGCACATCATAAAAAAAATTGCACACATCATAAAAAAGGGGGAAAAGTGTATATAAAAAGAAATTCAAAAGCTAAAAGTAACCTAAGGATATTATATTATAGTATTAATCTCCAATTATTAATTTAAACCTCTGGGTGCCAAGGTGTTCAGGGTAAATATCCAATAGGTCTGGAACCTTTCCGCCGGGGAGTCACAAGGTGAAATAGACTCCACTACCTAGACTTAGACCTTCTGTAATTTTGTCCTGATGAGTGAGGAAGTGTCTGGGAACACTGTGGTCATCCCTGCCATCCTCAATGAACCTTCTGTGTTCCCCAAAATGGGCCGTCACAGTATGCACCGTGCGTCCCACGTAGAGGAGGCCACGGGCAGGACAGGCAATTGACCATGTGTTCAGTGGAACAAGTGTAGAACCTGTTTATAGAATAGGTCTTACCAGAGGAGTCATGAAATTTCTATTGGCGATGATGCACAAATTGGCACATTTTATACCTACTTTTCTTACATTGAAACATGCCAGTTAATTTACAAAATGTGGCAAGGGGGTGAGAAGAGTTGGGAACTGAATAGCGACTATATTTTTGAAATTTCTTGCCCTCCTGTATATTATCCTGGGTCTATCTGCTAAAACTGGGCCCAATTTTGGGTCTTGTAATAAGATACCCCAATGTCTTTTTTTTTTTTTAATTGTTTCCATCTGTTTATGTCTGGAGTGATACTGGGTGATAAACTTGACCTCAGTGTTAGTCACAGGTGTTGTGTGACTGTCTCTGGGGGCAAAGGACTAACATTTTTGGAATGTTTTGTTGACCAGTTCTGGATCATATCCCTTGTCCAGCAATCTGTCCCTCAGGATCTGTCCTTGTTGGCTGTAGTCATCATCCAGGGTACAGTTCTTTCTCAACCTGCAGGACTGCCCCCTGAGGATGTTCTGTATCCATTTGGGTGGTGACAACTTTTGAAATGCAGGTAGGAATTCCCTACAGAAGGTTTAAAATGGGTCTTGCATATGATATGGCCTTCATTCTGGGACAATTCTAGATCTAAAGATACCAGTGACTCTGGGCTCCACACATGGGTGAAGAAAAGACCAAGCTGGTTGTTGTTGCAATAGTGGATGAGCAAGGCAATGGAAGAAGGGGAACCTTCCCAAATGATGATCACGTCGTCTATATGCCTCCCGAAAAACACACTGTGGGCAGCAAAGGGGTTGTTTCTCCAGATGCATGATTCTTCCTACCAACCCATGGCAAGGTTGGCATTACCTGGTGTGAGAGAAGCACCCATGGCAGTGCCGTGCACCTGGAGGAAGCAGTCCCCCTAGAACTTATAGTAGTTGTGTTCCAGGAAAAAGTGAGTGCTGTCCAAGATGAACTGCGCTTGTCTGTGGTGGAGATTCAGCTCCCCTGCTGAAAAATGCCCCACCACAGTGAGTCCAACCTCATGGAGTAAGGAGGTTTACAGAGAGTTAACATCAAGCGAGAGCCAATGATGCGACTCCTCCCATGAGTAATTGGACAAAGTTTCCAACAAGTACAGGGAATCACAGACATAGGAAGGGAGAGACTGGACTATGGGCTGTAGGAAAAAATCCACATACTGGGATAGGCCACTGGTGAGACTCTCCAAGACTGCAGTGATGGCTCTGCCAGGAGGACAAGTAAGGTCTTTGTGCACCTTCGGTAGATGGTAGAAGTAAGGGTGCCTGTATGATATTCTCCACTCGTGTTTTTCCATCAACCGTTCCACGGCTGGCTCCACCCACTCCCATCTGACTGGTTCTAACCGGCTGCTCTGACAGCTGTTATATCCCAACTTTTCCCCAGACGAGCCAGCTTGAAAAAGGAGGCAGGACCTCGGAAACGCATTGCAGTCCGCCCATACCTAACCCCCTCCCCAACCTGTCACGTTCTTCTGTCTGCTTTCCTGTTAGTGCTGTGAGTGAGAGGAGAGACACCCGCCGATTTGCCATCCTGCAGCGGGTCCCTGCTTGTGCCCTGCAGCCCTATCAGTCCATCCAGATTACGGTGAGCTGTACATTTCACCACCACTCTAATACCTGGAGCAGTCTACAGGTCTTTCAGATGTAAGTGAGAAATGGCATTAAAGTGTTTTTTTAACCATACACTAATCTGGCGCCCTGCTCTGTTTCCTTTGTATGCTCGTGAGGGATTACCCAGATCCACTGGCTAGGAGCTGCCAGACAGTGTGTGTTTCTCTCATCCACCTTTCCAGCCATCCATCCACTTGTTCTGTGAACTCTATGGATTTTTCACTGTGGACTTGAGCGCTGATTGCGCTTGTTTAATCATAAGTTGATAAAATTGAGTAGCCCATTTAAAGATAAATAACAGAGCTAGTTTTCGCAACAATATTCAGCTTTTCCGACAGTTCTTTTTTTTCTGCCAGTGAATGTCTTCAATTTGACTACCAGCATCACCCAGCCTGCTTCTTCTGAGCTCAGGTCGTCCTGGGCCCATCCCAGCCTTTAACTGGAGAGTGAAAGGAGAAGCAGCACAGTGATTTCTGTGTTCTCTGTCACTCTGCTTTCTCTTCCTATTACCATAATTCTTGCTAGCACATGAACTAATTGGCTGCTTGTACTGCTTCATCCTCTCACGCTCTAGCCCTGCTGTATGGGGAATGCCAGGAGGCTAATTACAGATCAGATTCAGGTACATGTCCTGCTTGCCCCTTAATGCCGACAGTATGCATATATGCAGCCCTACAGAACTGGGCTTTTTTCAGTGGGGCTGCATATTTGCGTATCAGTGTTTGTTGTTGGAGCGCAGCGCACTCCCAGCACAGATACCGGGCTGTAAGCGAGATGCCCAGGTCCCAATACGAACAATCAGGACTTGGTATTCCCGGTTCCGGGTCACCTGATTGCTGTGATAGTCTCTGATTAGCTATCACAGTGGTCAGTTACTGTGCAGCCTGTCCCTGTGTTTTTTTTTAATCTCTGAATAGGGAAGAGAAACGTGGTTTCTTTCTAATATGTAGGGAAAATGTAAATAAAGGTGTGTAGTGAAAAAAAATACCTAGATCAATGTTAGATCTAGCTCAGTGCCAGGGTTACTGTTAGGGTCAAGTAAAGGCTTGTAATATTAGAGCACTTACCTGTCCAGGCATCCAGCGGTGTCCTCACCCCGAGTCGATTCTTCAGTCAGCTGTCGGGTGCTGGCACCACCATTTTGACTAAGGGTAACCGGCAGTGCATGCATGAAGCACGCTGCGCTTTGTGAATGGGCCACAGTCCTCTGGGACCTGTTGAGTTTCCCAGAGGGCTGTGGAGGGGGGGCTGAGTGTCTCGTCACCGTACTGTGCTTGAAGTCTTCTGTAGATATCCGTGGGTTTTACGCCTTCGTTCACAAGAAACTTTATCACCGCGCTCTGTTCCATGCACGTACTAACACTGCTGTCTGCCATCTTGATTAACGGTCTTTGGACTGGCCTGTGACATGTGTGCCACCTATCAGTAATAGGATTGAAAAGACAAAAAGAAACAGCAGCGCAGGATCACAACCACATGCAAAAAAGGTGGTGGTGCAGGCTTTTAGGGATTGAAATAATAAGGTGGCAACATATACCTCCTCTGAAACCCCCCCCCCACCCACTTTAGAGGGCTAGCGCCAGTCTAAACTAGCCCCAAAGATGATTATTTAAAATAAAGTCAATTTTCAGCAGGGTCCCATGAGGTTTGAAAAATTAGTCACATGGCTAAAACTCTTTATGCTTGTGTTTAAAGCTTTGTTGAGAATTGTTTGAATTGAGAATTATGTTATATTTGGGTTTATTTTCTGATCTGTGATGTCATCTTTTTACTACAGATGGATGCCGTACAAGAAAAATTGCACCATACAGGTTCATTTACAAAATTTAAAGAAATGTATGAAAAACTTGGACATTCTGGACAGATCTGCACCTTAACGCTGGATGATTTGTTGCACACCACTGCAGATCTTGTAGAGAAGCAACATAAAAAAATGCAAGGTGTGGCCTCCAATAATACTCTGTAAAGGCCATTTTACCAATTTACTCTGCATTAAAAAGACTTGTCAGAAAACTCAAGGTACAGGAGGGAAGTTTGTTGTGGCTGTGACTCAGAAGAGACAGCTGAATCTCTTATTTCTAACAAGTTACCTGCTCCATTTATAAACAGTGTGAAGTACAAGTGTTCGCCCCCTCCGGGGGGTTTGCACCCACTGCATCTGAAAAACAATTAGGCTTTTTAGTCAAGTTTACACATCACTGATATCTTCTTTAGTTAGATCAGCTGTACCCCCAAAAAGACATGTTTTGGGAATTTCCCTTCTAAAATATATGTTATTACAATGAAGCCATTGACATTAATTGAACCCTTTTACTGCCAGTTACATGTGTCCTATATCAGTGAGAGCATGAGTTTTACATACGTTGCAGCTCCCGAGAGTGCATGTAGCTCTGACAGGCTGCCGCCAGCTTCCATAGACCCTTGATTCATTCATTCCCTCCGCCCCTTATCCCGTCATTTTTCCCAGACTTCGCTATCCAAACTGTAGGTGTTGCTGGATATAAGGGCAGGTGTCCATTGAATGTTCAGTTGCTGATCTCCTCTAGCTAGTAAGAATACCAGCGTTCCGGTTTCTAGGACCTTTATTCATGGTTAACTTTAAACTGATGACCTGTAACAGCTTTTAACTCTTTCGCTGCCTACCAGGCCCTGTGCTCAACTTTTAAGCTCAGGTGGCCAGTCCATCTTTCCATTGTTTGTTTTTTTTATTTTCCCTTTGCAGCTTTCAGAGTTTGTAAAAGACACCCCCCCCCCCCCCCCAGACCGTATATTTTCTGAAAGCCCTGATTTTTAGGGCCCTGTGATATTTGTGCAAATGTTTGTCAAAGCGATATTCTCGATAAAATTATTAGCAGATACCAACACAGCAAATTTTCCAAAATACCTGCTAAAATTTCTACTAAATATAAAACCTTAACCTGTATTGAGTTAATAACAAATATTTGTAAATTTTAAGTTGCATCTTTTTGCGAAATGGTGAAAATTGAACGTACGCAAACATTTCTCTTACAATCTAGAGGTTTTCATTTTTAAACTTAACAGCTTTCAGAGTTTGTAAAAGCACCCCACACCATATATTTTCTGAAAGCAATTAGAATAAAAACAAGCTGCTACTGATTTTTTTAGGCACCACAATAGTTGCGCTAATGTTTATCAAATCATTTTTTTTCACAAAAAAACAATAAAATCTTTATTTGCACACCAAAACCACAAGATAACTTACAAATTTCCTGCTAAATTCCTACTAAGGCCTTGTTCAATGGGGTGTGCTAAAGCGTATGACCATGGAAGTGTGTATTTGACAGCACAGGGATGCACAGTTGTTCCCTGTGTAGGCAGTCCAATTCATATCAACTGGGACACAGCAGCTGCAAAGACAGATTTGACATCCATACGGGTGTAGGTACATGGCCCCAAACACAGACAATGTGGGTTCAGGGACATACACCCACGTGGATGTCAAGTTGGGAGAAGTGGCTGTATCGATACAGCCACTGCGTCTCAATTGACATGTACTTTGAGACACACTGGCTGCATGGGAATGCACATGTGTTTACGTGCATTCCTGTGCAGCCGCTGTGTCCCAAAGGACATCAGTTGTACTGCCTGCATGGGGATGCATGGAATACCTGTGCATCCCTGTGCAGATAAACATGGCCTCACTGTATTATGCCCTGTGTGAACAAAGCCTTAGGCCTTGTTTAGAATTGTGATTGGGGAAGGCAAAAATGCGTGGTTGAGCTGTGTTTTTGCCGCATGTCAACCCCCCCCAAGCTGCAGTAGGCAATGGAATTACAACAGGCTGGGGAAAATAATTGGGAATAAGGGTAATGGAAAGGATTACATGTGATTACATTTTTATAGTTTTTCAGTTTGTATCTAGGTAAGGTATGATTTGTGAGCTATGCAGATCTTGCCATTGCTGTTCATACTGTGTGTTCATAGTGATAGAAGTGCTGGGAACACTTCACCTAGACAATCATTCTCTGTTCCTGTTTTTTCTTTTTTGAAAGCAAACAATTATTATCATTTCCATTCTGAAGTTCTACTTTCCTCATTTCACTTCCTTTTCAAGCTCCTATTCTCTTCTGCTCCTGCTTAGTTTCTTCTTTCTCTTTGTGTGGTCTGTGGCATGCTGTGGAGAAATCATGGACATCAGTTTAAATATTACATGTGAAGTCCTCTTCCTCATCTGTCAATGATCATACAATTACTGATGCAGGTGTGGGCCATAGTCTGTATTGCCACAAGGTAATACAAAGACATGATTAAAGTTTTACAGTTACCGTCCACTTTTTTAGGTACACCTGTTCAATTGCTTGGTAACATAAATGCTAATCAGCCAATCACATGGCAGCAACTCAATGCATTTAGGTATCTAGACGAAGTGAAGCAAGTTCAAACTGAGCATCAGAATGGAGATCTAAGTGACTTTGAATGTTGCATGATTGTTGGTGCCAGCTGGGCTGGTCTGAGTATTTCAAAAACTGATCTACTAGAATTTTCATGCACAACCATCTCTAGGGTTTACAGAGAATGGTCAGAAAAAGAGAAAATATCCATTGAGCGGCAGTTGTGTGGACGTAAATGCTTTGTTGATGTCAGAAGAGAATAGACAGACTGGTTCAAGATGATAGGCAACAGTAACTCATGTCAATATGGACCAAAATCTCTGAGGAATGTGTCCAACACCTTGTTGAATCTATGCCACAAAGAATTGAGGCAGTTCTGAAGGCAAAAGGGGGTCCAACCCAGTGCTAGCAAGGTGTATCTAATAATGTGGCTGATGCGTGTAGATTTATAAGATGAAAACCCCAAGGCTCCATTCACACTTGTGCAACTCCAAAGTCGCACTATTTCCACTGCAACTTTGGAATGTGGCTCTGAAGCAATTTTACACATCTGGAACTCAAGTTGATACAAAAAGTCATATCAAAGTAGTGCAAAGAACTTTTCAAAGTCACTGTGACTTTAAGTTGCATGGTTCCAAATGGGTGCTAATGAAAACAATGGGCTGTGACTTGTCATGCAACTTTATATTTCAAAAGTTGCATGACAAGTCTCACAAGTGTGAACGGAGCCTCAGTTCTTTTCCAGAAATAAAATCTTTCTTGAGACATTGGGGGAGATTTACTAAATCTGGAGCAGCTGTGCATAGTAGCCAATCAGCTTCTGACTTCATCTAGTTCAATTAAGCTTTAATATTAAAACCTGGAAGCTGATTGGTAGCTGATTGGTTTCTGTGCAGAGCTGCACCAGATTTTGCATTCTACAGTTTTGTTTTTTGACCACTGTGCTTTTTTCATCAATACCTCTCTGAGTATATTAGTCCATGCAGACGCAAGAGAAGATTTGCCTATTCCAGCTGTTTCATTGGACCAAGGAACAGCTTTTCCAGGCAATCATAATTTTCCATGCAGATTGGCACCTGAGAGCTCACCTTTCTGCTCTGCATGCATGGACATGCACATTTGCCCTTACTGTTACAATGATTTGTTGGGCAGCCAGATCATGTTTGGGTGGTAGGGTGCAATTTATGGGCTGTAGGCACTATAGACTACAGGCCTGATTGAGATTGACATGATCATATGTCTGTGGATGCATTGCAACCTTTGGCTTGGGAAAAGGGGAAATATTTATTTAAATTTACTTTCTTGAAACTGTATGCAAAGAATGGAGAGGCTTTTGATATGTAATGAAAGGGCTAAAGTACTGTGTAATACAAAGATTGCTTTTAAATGGTTGGATGTTGTTTATAATTTGACCTACTGAAAAAGTTTTTTAATTTGAAATAACAGGAGCAGGCACACTTTTTCAAAAATATATTGTAAATCTGTACTGTGAGTATCACCACACCTGCACACATGTGTATGGAAGCAGTGTTAATTTTGACTAAATTGCCATTTTAGTTTAGTCGTATTTTAGTCATCTAAATTGTTTTAGTTTTCGTCATATTTTGGTCGACTAAAATAATTTCCTTTCCCCAGCCCTGTCAGTGTCTGAGGAAAGGAAAGCTGAATACTGGCTTTCCTGTGATAGGGACATTTACCGTATTTTCCGGCTTATAAGACGACCCCCTACTTTTCCTGTAAAATATAGTGTTTGGGCTATACTCGTCGTATAAGACTTCCAATGCCGTCTTCCAATGCACACCAGTGGGAAGAATCGTGCCCCATCATTGGTGTCAGTGGGAGGAATAGTGTCCCATCATTGGTATTACTGGGAGGAATAGTGCCCCATCATTGGTATTAGTGGGAGGAATAGTGCCCCATCATTAGTATCAGTGGGAGGAATAGTGCCCCATCATTGGTGTCAGTGGGAGGAATAGTGCCTCATCATTGGTGTCAGAGCGACGAATCGTGCCCCATCATTGGTATCAGTGGGAGGAATATGAATGTGCCCCATCATTGGTATTAGTGGGAGGAATAGTGCCCCATCATTGGTGTCAGAGCGACGAATCGTGCCCCATCATTGGTGTCAGTGGGAGGAATAGCACCCCATCATTGGTGTCAGTGGGAGGAATAGCGCCCCATCATTGGTGTCAGTGGGAGGAATCGTGCCCATCATTGGTATCAGTGGGAGGAATCGTGCCCATCATTGGTATCAGTGGGAGGAATAGTGCCCCATCATTAATATCAGTGGGGGGAATAGTGCCCCATCTTTGGTGTCAGTGGGAGGAATAGTGTCCCAACATTGGTGTCAGTGGGAGGAATAGTGTCCCAACATGGGTGTCAGTGGGAGGAATAGTATCCCATCATTGGTGTCAGTGGGGGAAGGAATAGTGTTCCATCATTGGTGTCAGTGGGGGGTGGAATAGTGCCCCATTGTTGTTGTCAGTGGGGGGGGGGGGAATAGTGCCCCATCGTTGGTGTCAGTGGGGGGGGGGAAAGAAAAGTGCCCCATTGTTGGTGTCAGTGGGAGGAATAATGCCCCATCATTGGTATCAGTGACACCAATGATGGGGCA